GGGGGGGGGGTTTATTTGTTATTGCGTTTACTTATGTTATGATTGTTTTTTATGATGGAAAAAAAAATTCTTTGGGGAAAAAGAAAAAAAAAAAGAATCTCCTGGGGGTTTTTTTTAGAAATTTACATGGCACAAACATTTGTGGACTAGAGCCAACTTCATCATCAAAAAATTTTCATCATTCTCAGTCTATTGGTTTAATAATTTTAAAATTGTATCGGATATTTCAGTATGTCTCATACAAACAGAATAACAAGGCCATCACATAGGAATTTGGGGGGATGTGTGTGTTTTTGTTTTGCTTGTTGAAATAAGTCAGTCCTATTTGTGGCTCATTTTTTTGCATTTTGATATACTGTTTAAAAGTTTCTATCTTCTATTATAGGTGGCAATTACCACACCAGCAAAATGAGAATCAAGCTGATATAGTTTGGAGAACTTTTATGAGTTCTTCCAAAAGATAACATGCTGCGATCCTGTGCCATAAGCAGTTTTTGATCCATTATAGTTATATACTTTCTTCCTTTCCCCTGTGCAGACAGATATGGATAGTTAAGTCATAATAAACCTAGAGCAATGTGGAAGCAGGCTGGATGCCACTGAAGAGGTGATATGAACAGTCACATAATCTCCTGACTTGGAATAAAGGACCATCACTCGTAGTTACATACTGATTGTGGTCTGTTTAGCATCTACAGTAGGTCAGTATCTATCAAAAGGTGGCTCAAGGACCCTAGGGGTCCCCCAAGACCCCCTCAGAAGTCCGACAATTCAAAATTATTTGCCAGCCTATGTTGAAAAATAATACAATATAAAAATCCCATCAAACATTTGTGAGAAACATTAGTGGCAGTGAATGAATCAATTTTAATTTTCAGTAGAATAAATATTGATAAAAATAACCGATACAAACAAATGCTCTTTTAAGATCCTCTATAAGTTTTAAAAGTGGGAAAGAGTGCTGAGGCCAAAAATTTAAGAAACACTGATCTGGGTCACAGATACCAACAGCCTGCACAAGCAAATTCAGCAAAATACTTGTTTTCGCTCAATAATGTTTATGGTGGAGTGACTGATAGGCCAATACATAGTCCTTTTCTTTATGTAGCTAACACTGCTTACGCTACAGTTTTTCCTCTTTCCATTGTTATTATTCAGTGAGTGAGAATTTTGGATCCATTACAACAATTGAGAAACAATTGCCCATTCAGTTGTTGGAAAATAGTCACTGGTCTGGATACTCCTTCAATAAATAGAGTATTTATGTATGCATCCAACTTACCTGTTGTATTCAGTGTTAAGCTTTTTTCCTCTGTAGATGTTAGATGTTTAACTTCACATCGTATTGTCTTCCCAAAGCTAAGTACTTTTGGATCGAAGTGTATTTTACTAACAAAATAACATAAGTGATCTTCTCCAATCGTAACCTTCCTGGGATTGATCTTTTCATATATTTGTCTCCAGCCTTGGTACCATCTGACTTGTATATCATGAGGTGCAAATTGTGATATAGAAATTGCAAGGAAGATATTCTGATGATCTGCGGTTGCCTTTATTTCAGACAAAACAGGCCGTTTGGCTAAATGAGAAGAAAAAATATTGAGCAGGGATGACAATGTAAATATTGTAATATGTTTCCATACCTTGGCTTAATATGATTAATGAAAGAACGACTTTTAATGTAAGAAAATACTTTAAGAATTGATCCTCTGCAGTCTTTGCATA